GGCGTCGGGCCGGCAGGAAGCAGCGCGCTCGGGAGGCAGGTCGCTAGGCCGAGGGGGAAGGGAGCGCTTGCCCCATCGCGGCCGGCCGGGGCGCCGCCACCTGGGCAGACGTTACGCCGCCCGCTTGGGCGCTGCTGGAGCAGCCGAGCTGTGTTGGACCGCAACGCGCTCACCAGGCTGGCCGGGAACGATTGGGCACAGTCCGGGCACGGGGGTGGAAGCTTCTCTAGAGCGCAAAAGATGCGGGGAGGTGAGAGCAAAGGGGCCCGGCTGAGTAACACCCCCCTCGCAACAATTGCGGCCCGGAGCTGGAAGCCTCCTTTCGGTTGAGGACTGAAAGGTGGGGCTGCCAGGCTGCCCTCCGGGCCCACGCCCTGCTCTCACCCTCCCGCGCAGAAGAGCCGATCTCTTGATGACAGGTAGCATCCATGACAGCTGCCTGGAGCCTCCATGGGTAGGGGTAGTTCCCCTCTGCATTCCTGGTGGCCCTGGGCTCTCAGTGTGGGAGGGAAGAGCTTCGGAGTGCCCGGGAGGGGAGGGCTTGCTGTGGCTGGAAGGACGTCTGTGTGAACGAGTGGGCTTTTCCCTTGAGACAGTAGGACATCAGCCTGTGCCCCCTCCCCTGCTTTCCAGTTGGCTCTTTGGGGTTGAGCTGAAGGGAAGCAGACGGGTTCCCTGCGTTCTGTGAGCGGGGGCGGGGGGAGCTCTCAGTCGGATGCCCGTTGGCTGCGGTCTGGAGAAGGTGCAGGTTTGTTAAACAGCTTAAATGTGGTGTTTGCAAGCGCCCTTTGGTTGAAGATGCCAGTTAAAGACCAAACATCTGGCCAGGTGGGCCTCTCCCTGCCTACTCCCCTCCCCCGCAAGATATGTCAGTAAAGGACAGGAGACACATCTCAGGTGTGAGAAGACCTGCAGGCCCTTCTCTGTTTTGTGAAGTCTTTTTTCCTGGAGTTGAGCAGACAAGACGCACAGCTACGCTCGGAGGTTGTCAGGGCCACAGAGAACTGGAGGGAGTTGCAGCCCCTCCACATTAAAAATCCATTTTTAGTTTTACCCCCTCGAAGTCGACTGAGACAAGGAGAGAGTCTCTGCGCTGGGTAAACAGTTGGGAGACGGAAAGCGCTGCTCATGTACGTGGGAAGGCCGGGGGGGGGGATTCAGCTCTACCCAGCCTGGCTCAGGAGCAGTAATTCCCCCTCCCTGCCGGAAGATGGACGCTCCTTGATTGCGCAGAGGGGAGCAGCCTTTTCATTCGTTCCCCCTTTCGTGACTTCTTGGCTGGTCTGAGAAAGCTTTTGCCCAGCGCTGGGTCACCTGCCCTTCCGTCCCCTTCTGCCTCCTCCTGGGCTGAGCTCTTCCTTGGACTGGCGTAAAAGAAGCTGCTGGGGCGACGCCCCCAGGGTGTGACTTCCGTGACCTGGGGTTGGCGGGCAGGAAGAGGCTGGTGGACGCGCTGTTTCCCTTTCGGAAGGGGCTCTTTTCTGGCTCCTCGTAAGACTGGCCTCTGCCACCCAGAGCAGGAAAGAAAAACTGGTCTTGAAGGGGAGCGTGGATTTTTCTGCCATGCTGGGGGGCTGCGGGGGTTTAGCTTTGCTTCCCCAAACCTGCCCCTCTCTGAGCAAAAGGAAGGAAGGGTGCTGCCCCTTGCTCTGCCCCCACTCAGTAGCCCCTACGCTCGGTCCCCTGGCACTTGGGAGGGGAGATCATGGGGTTCAAACTGCTTCCCAGCCGAGTTGGGGTCATCCGGGAGCTGGGAGGGCTGCTGAGGTGGGGCTACCTGCCTCCGGGCTGACCCTTCTGGGGAAGGAAGGGGATCCTCTGTGTTGTGGGGGTGTTGGCTCAGAAGCCCTACCGCCGTGAGGAAATACTGGCCTCGTCCTGCTCCTGTGCAGGCCTTACCGATGTGAGTAAAGATCACACCTGAGGAGGAGGAGGAGGAGGCACCAGGGGCTCTGGGCTAGCCTGGCGCTCCTCTCCTGCAGTTCCGTTGCCCGTGGTCTTCCGCCTGGGCCGGTTAAAGGCTCCTGGCGAGGCGCTGATCCTCTGCAGGAGAAACTAACACGCGCACCTGCAAAGCCACGAGGAGGCCGGACGCCCGCCGTTTGTTTCTCTGCCGTGGCTCTGGGGCCGAGGGAGTCCAGAAGCCAACCCAAGGCGGGCGGGAAGGCCGTCGTGCTGGCAACCAACGGAATCTGGAGGGTTTCCAGGCAGGGTGCGTGTGAGGAGCTGGCGGGCCAAGGGGAGGGAGGTGCAGCAGGCAGGCTGCGGATTAGAGCATCCGGGGCGGGAGCAGCAGGTGCTGCGGAGAGCTGAGCTCGCCGGAAGCGCGGGGGGGCGGGCCGCGGGGGGGGGGAGGGGGGGGGG